TTTAATTGGGCATGTTAATTAGTTGAGCCAAAGGGACTTTTGATTGCTGGATTTCAATAGGGGAGAAGAGCAAAGCCCTGCCACAGCCATGTTTGCTAGCCTGGGCCAGAGTCCCTTCACCATGGCCATGGCATGAGCATTCTGTATTGCATTCCCAGCATCAGTGAATAAGAGTTCCTTTTGGTCACAACTGGTGAGTTGACATGCACTTGTAGTCTCAGCCACTTCCGAGTCTGAGAAAGAAAGGTGGCTTGAGGCCAGCCAGAGTATCATAGAGAAACCCTGTCTCATAAGGAGGAAAAAGAAAAAAAAAGACAGTTCTCATTATTCCACATCTTGTTAGTGCTTACTGCTGTCAGCTTTTGAACTAGTCTTTCTAGTATAGTGGTACAATAGTGTCTGGTTTCTACTTTAATTTGCTTTGAAAATTATACACTGGACAGCTTCTTATTATATGCTTGTTGCCATCTATGTTATCTCTAATGAAGAGTCCACACACTTACTCATTTTATTTTTTTTATACTTATTTTTAGTATTGTATGATGGATGTGTGTATACATAAGTGCTCATGCCTGTAGAGCCAGAGGCATTAAGTCCCCGTGGAGTTGGAGTTACAAGTGGTTGTGAGTCATCTGTGTGGATGCTGGGTACCAAACTCATGTCCTCTGAGGAGCAGCAGTATATGCATGCTCTTAACCACTGAGCCATCTCTCCAGCTCCTTATGCTTTTTTAATGTTTCCATATGATTTGGGCAGTGTTCTCCTAAACTTAGTTTTAAGTAGTTGTCTGTGGGAGCTGCTATGTCCAGAATGTGACCTAATATCCTTAAATTTTCAGTAGTTTTTTCTGGAGATCACCTCTTGTTTTGAAGACTGAAGAGTTACGTACTACCAAGGTCCCCTCATTCTCATCTGAGGCAAGATCTACCCGGTGTACATGCCAGTCTATTGAAGTCCAGCTGTGTTATGCCTGCATCTGTAAGAGGCTGGCTTACAGTTAGAGCTACCTGTGACTCAGGCTAAGTCATGACTCAGGCTTAAGACGAACAGTTCTGGAATGTTTAAATGGACTAGATGCTGTTTACTTTTTGGCTAGGAAGTCTTCCTGGATGTTTCTGAGCCAGTCAGTTTCTGTGGTGGTGAGTTTGGAGAACAGAGGTTGAAGTGACAGGCAATCCTCCCTATGATCACAGTTCCATATCCAAATGGAAACCATGCACACACCGGTGGAAAGAAATTTCTGTCTTACTGACTGTTCGTTAGTTTCCTGTTGCTTATAAAGCAGTTTGAACACATGAAGATGAATGGTAGAGGGATTTTTGCTTTCAAGGAGCTTCGTTTTGTTGTAGATTTAGGATGTGTACATTACTAGCCACAGTCTGTGAATGAGCCACAGAGATGCACAAGGCCTTTATTTGTCTCCATTCCTTTAAGTGGTTTCTTTCAGACAACATACTGGTTTTTAGTTCACTTTTAGACTCATATTTGAAGCATATAAACTGTTGATGCTCAATATTATTGCTGATAAAGTTGTATAAATGTATGCCACATTTGTTTTCTGTCTTTTTAACCTCTATTCTTTGCTCCTTTCTTTTGCACTCAGTGGTCTTTCTACCTTTTGTGATTTTTTTAAAGGAGCACTTTATATGATTTTTTCTCAGTTTTCTTAACATACCAATTATCTGTGTGTGCTAAACTTTTCTTGTTTTCTTTAGTGGCTGTCCTAAAGTCTGCAGTGTTACTTTACAACTAATTCAAGCACAGCTTCTCGTAACACTGTCTGTCACTTTGTAGGTCATGCAGACGACCTCTCCTACCAGAGGAATCCCAGTTCTTCCTCTTGTTATTTGCATTACCGTATTATTTCTAGCTTATGTTCCATGCATACGTACATATGTGCACATACTCACACGTACACATGTATACACATACAACCCAGGAGATGCACATATAAGCACACGTTGTATTGCTGTTATTTTTTATGTCATCTGCTAATGGTCAGATGTTTTTACTTGACTTTAATTTATTCTTCCTTCAGTGGTTTTCTTTTCATAGAGATTTGAGTTTCTGGCTTATCTTCTCTCTTTCTAAAGAAGTATGGCCCACTCCCCAGGCTAGTGATGTCACCTAGGACATTTATTAAGCAAGGGTTCTCCTTCACTTCTAAAGGATAACCTTATAGAGTGCAAAGTTTAGGTTGGTGATTTTTGTTTTTTTTCCTCTAGGCACTGAATATTCTGCTTCCATCTCTTACTGGTTGAATGCTTTCTGTTGATACAAAAGCAAACAACCCGGTGTTCCCCTTAAAGGGAATACGAGTTTATTCTGGAGCCATTTTTAATGACCGTGGCACAGGAGCTAGGCGAAATTTCATGAAGTTTTACAGTTTCATAAAACAGTGGTGGGTACATCAGAGAGTTAGGTACAGCAAAATGAGGGAATCTTTTCTATAGGCCTCAAAGGCTGTCTGCTGACATTCTTAGTTTTGGGGTTGATGGAAGCCAGTGGGTTGGCTAAGTTAATAGATTTCCAAAGGTTTTTATCTATTATTCATAGGATGTTAGTGCAGACACAGAGGTGTGGACAAGGTGGACTGTCCAGGGGGCAGATGTTAGCCCAAGATAAGGTAACTAGCCTCTGGACCTGTCTAACATGTCAGTCTTCCTTCCCACAGTACTGCAGTTCTGGCCAGTCAGCCAGTCAGTCAGTAGACACAGCAGCTTCCCTGGAGTTCCCCTTCACATTTCTGAGTCTGATGCCCCTTGCCTCCTTAGCTTACTTATTAGATGCCTGTTCTCCTGCTAGCTTCCTTCAAAATGATTTCTCTTTCTTTGATTTTTCTGTGATTTGAAAATACATCTCTAAATTTTTGTTTGTTTCTATGCTTGTTTGGTTTTGCATTTATCCCACTTGGTGTTTGCCAAGCAACCTGGGTCAGAATGTCCTTCCTGCTAAGAAGAACTTGTATCAGATCTAGTTAGCAGTTTCCTCATTCAGAGCCCGGGTGACTCCTTTAGTCTCTTGCCCCATCTACCAGCTACAGCTCCCTTATGGCTTGCCAAGTCCACACTTTTCCAGATATACCAAGCTCTAGTGTCCAAGGTTCTTTTGCCTCTGAGTCTTTTCAGCTTCTGCTGTCTTTGCTGAAGCTGTGTTCTGTCCTTGTGGAGTCTTCACCTTGGCTTACTTCTGGTGCTTGTGCTCCCAGGTTGTTACTTGCCTTGGGTATGGTTAGCACACGGTTTTTTTCTTTAGGAGAGTCACTCTGGGAGCATGGTGGAACAAGACTCGGCCTTAGGCAGATGTGTTCCATGCCCTGAAGCCTGCACCTGTCACTACTGATTGCTGGTCCCTGTAGGACCCTCCTTTGTCTTCTGGCTCCTGAGGCTCTGGGTTCCTGTGTCGGGTGCCATGCATTCTAGACAAACAATTGATGTGAGTGGACAGGCCCTACACTAAGTGGCAGTCGCTCCCAGCTCCTGCAAGCACGAAGGACTCCCAAAGCTTCCTCCCTTCCCACACCATTAGCTCGTTTCTCCACACATCCTGCTGTCTTGACCTTCCTGTTGTGTATGTCTGATGCTTAGCTTCTCTCTCTTTGGAGTAATCTTTTCTGTCTTATCTTGACTCTTCTCCCTCATCAGGTCATACAGAGACAGCGTCTAATCTGCCATCTTACCCAGAAACACTTTTTTAGAAAATAGTTTCATTGCTTCAAAATTAGAGGTTAAGAACTTTAAGTAATATTCATTTTAAATGCTTGTATTATTCCCTTTGATAACATAACTTTTAGATTTTGGAGAGTCTATGAAGTGAATGTTTCAATGCTTTTACAGGATTTGTAAATGGTGACATTGATGCTATTGTGTTTAACTTACCTTAAAACTCTTGGGTTAAAAAAATAATACTGTATAGATTATTTTTTTAAAAAATCACATCATTGACTAAAAATAGAATAAAGGAAATGAAGTTTCCTTGTGTAGTTTCAAGGTTGGTAACTGGATAAACATTAGAAACAAGTCAGTGTAGGGAAGGAGGGAAAAACAGACGACAGTTATTAGAACCTCTTGTAATTCAGGTACTATCTTATCCTATCTGGCTTTCATACATAATCGGTGCATTTAGTGTCTTTAAGAACTCACTGAATGGGAATATTACTAGCATTCATTTTATAGAAAAATGACCTAAAATAATTTTTTGAACCCGATGACTAGTGATAAAGATCAGTTTTTACTGATAAATCTTTGGTGTCATTGACAATGGCTTTTTTTAAAAAAAGAAAAACTATCTGAGATGAAATGAATGGTGCTATTGCTGTTATACAGTAAATAACCGAGCAGGTAAGAGAGGCAATACTAGAAATAATCTACGTTCTCTGGTACTGAACACATCTGGAGCAGTTGTCAGGCTGCTGTGTAACCTGATGGGCCCACTACTCAAAGTCAGGTTCATGTTGCCAGAAAGTATCCTTCATTGCAAGTTCTGGATTTAAAGGAAAAAAAAATCTACCGTTAGTTTGTATCATTTGAGAGAGATATTTTCCCAATGAGTGGATTGCAATGAACAGTCTATATACTGGTATAAAATGGTTTGTTGTTATTTGGGCTTAGAACTGAATTTTCAGTTTCAGATACTTTGGGGTATCTATGAGTTTCTAAATATTGGCATAAAGTTTTGTGGGTTTTTTGTTTGCTTATTTTCTTTTGATTTTTTGGGTTTTTTGTTTTGTTTTGTAGTATAGCATGTCAGCTTGGTTACTTTTTTGTATGCTTGGGAAATACTGATCTTAGCATCTAGTATGAATCTAAGAAAGTATGAAAAGGGCTTGTGAGATCACACTAAAATTGCTGTTTTGAGTTTTTTTATACATGTGTTTGTAAAAATTTTTAAATTTCTCCTCAAGTATTAGTTACTCTGAAATAGTGATCGTTTTATACCTTACAGGCAGCCCTAGACTCTGCGGTCACTTCCGTTTACCACCCTGTTTTTGATGCTCCTAGGTTATTGAGTCCCTGGGAATTATTATTTATAAAGCATTGGACTATGGCTTGAAGGAAAATGAAGAAAGGGAGCTGAGCCCTCCTCTAGAGCAACTCATCGACCAAATGGCCAATACTGTGGAGGCTGATGGTAGCCATGATGAAGGGTACGAGGCTGCAGACGAAGGCCCAGAAGATGAAGATGGAGAGAAGAGAAGCATCTCAGCCATTCGGTCCTATCAAGATGTCATGAAGGTAAAGCTCAGTTAGTGTTTGTTTCTGTGAGTTGTCATCTCAGGTTGAGTGGCTGGTGACTCAGCATTTGACAGTAGTTCCCAGACTTTGTACAGTGGCTGTGGCCTTTGCTGGGTAAGAGCTCTTGGCCACTTGTAGGTTGTGTTGGGTGTTGGTTATCTTCTTGTCACCTCAGCCTGTCTGGGCATGATGCCATCAACTGGCTTCTGCATTTCCTGTCAGTGGGGTGGATGGCATCAGCAAGTGGCTCTGTACTAAAGGCTGAGCTGTACCTGTCACAGTTCTGTGACTGTCATAGCTCATTGTCCATGATTTTTGATTTTGGCCTTTTCATAGGATCAATATACAATAATAAGATGGAAGTTTTCTTTTTAGTTCAGTTTTGCTGCCTACACGAAGGCTAAATATATAGAGATAAAAACTATGAAGGATTTGACAAATTAACTTTGTGATTCTCTGTTCTGAGTTATTTAGATAGAATCTTTACTAGCTTTTTCTTTGGTTGGTTGGTTTTCGTTTTTAGGGTTTTGTTTGTTTGTTTGTTTTAAATGTACATCACTTAGTTTTCATTTTCTTTTCCAGAGTCAGAAAGTAGAGAAACACCATGAAAACAGTGCTTTTCAGTTGTGCTTTGTCCTGTGTACTGGGCACCTCTCTGCTTCTTAGGAGAAGCAACCTTCAGGGCTCCAAAGGGATTACACAAGTCCTCTTCTTCTTCCTCCTTCTCTTCCTCCTCTTCCCTCTCCTCCTTTTTGTTGTTCCTTTTTAAAGTTTTTTTTTTGAGGGAGGGAGGGAGGGAGAGAGAGAGAGAGAGAGAGAGAGAGAGA